AAAAAAAAAAAAAAAAAAAAAAAAAAAAAAAAAAACAAGCTTTTCAATTTTATAGACACAAAAAGAAGAAAACCAGTTCATGAAGGCCACATACATGCACACTTCATGTCCTGTTTTTGTAGCTGTCGGCAGCAGCTGCCGGAGCAATGCTTCCCGGGTGAACTTTGTTCTTCCTTGCAAGCAAAGAACCGCCACCGGAGCTGGCGGCAGTGACGGCCTCGCCCCGGGATATTCGATCCGCTTCCATTCTCTCGAGCTTCTCCTTCTGTTGCTTCTGTAGAAGGTGAATCTTGGCGTAGGAAGCTCCGATGGATGACATGGTTTTGGAAATGGAAGAAGAAGAAGAAGGTTGTTTTGGTTTTGGTTTTGGTGTGTTTAGAAGCTTTGAAGTTGGTTGTATTTATAGAGCATGCATGCTTTGGTTAGGGTCGCTCTAAATAAATAAAACCCCATGCTTCAAACCCAATATGGCTTCTTTCATTTTCTTAATCAATTCAACTGTCTTTGTCACAAAAGAAGAAATGACTTTTTTAAATCTCCATTTCTTTATTTCTCTAAATAAAAAATTTCAAACATGCCACTGAAACACTCTACTAAAACAAATATGAGCTGTCCAGAACGTAAAGAAGGTAGGATAGGTAGTTTGTCAGATCGAGTATCGTATATGGACGGTAGTTGGAGTCGGTGGCTCTCTTAAGATTCCCTCATCTGGGATCCCTGAGGAAGAGGGTCATGTTAGTCATAGCCGCTTTGTATGTCTTGAAAGACTTTACCTCTACTCATGGGAATTGGCACCAACTAAAATAGTTGGGCATCACTGATTTTAAATAGGTGATTGTTATCGTACATTTGCATCACATGCACATACAACATACATCAAAAAATCATTTATTACATAGTACACAAGCATACCAAATTTAGTTCTAAGATGATGGATAAGAAGAACTACTTATCCTAAAAGAAAAACTGTAACAAATCTAAGTCCACCGCTAGTAGATATTGTTCGTTTTAGCCTTTCATAATTTCAACATTTGAATGTTAAGGAGAGATTTCTCCATGGTTATAAAGAATGTTTTGTTCCGCTCTTTAATTAAGGTCACCGTGTGGTTACATAAAAACCTAACTTTTAAAAAAGAGTTAGAGATGGTTTTTGGAAAAGCAGGAACGAGAAGGAACAGTGGTGCGTAGGAGGAGAAAGGCATTTTTCAGGTCACCAAATTGAAGTGGAAGGAGCACACACAGACTCAGAAATAACATGAATAACTAATGGCTTAGCCTTTTTCTGAGTGGCAGTACAATGGCATAACTATTAAATAGTAACCACAAATGATGCCACCTCAGATGCAGTTTATTCAAATGGAAGCTGCCTATGTGGACATTGTTATCTAATCACTGCTTAAAATTTTCTAATTAACACGCGCGCGCACACACACACCCCATAATAGAGGGTCTTATCTCCTTAATTATCAGCCACGCTGTTGTTGGTATCCAAGTTGGATTGCTCACCTTTATAACCCAACTCAGTATTACTATATGATATTGAATAATGTGGTGGTGTCGCAGTCCTCTTATCATTTTAAAACTTTTATTTCGCTTCCTTTATTTAGGCATAATTTCATTTTAGTCCTGTCGTTTAAATTAAATTAATCTCTTAAAATTTTCTTTTTTATTACATAAGGTATTATTTATTTAATCATTGCTTTAAGACATTGGCTTAAAAAATAAAGTTTTTAGTTAAAATAAGACAATTTTTTCAGACTCACCATCAATTCGAAACTTTTAAAAATCATAGTGACCAAATTGAAACTAAAACTCAACCGATAAAATCTAAAATAAAAATTTTAAAATTATTAGCTATTAAGAGAGTGTTTGGATGATATAAAAAGTTTGATTTTTTTTTTTTTTTTAAAAAGTGTATAAAAAGAAAATATGTGATTGAAAGTTTGTTTACAATGAAAGAATAGAGTTTATTCTGCCGAAGTCCAATCTAAACAGTTGGGTCCAATATTAACTAAACAGTTGGGCCCAAAATTAGCTAAACAGTTGGGCCCAAAATTAACTAAATAGTTGGGCCCAAAATTAACTAAGCCCAAACTTACACAATTCCCGTGAGAAGCTTACGTAATAGAATAATTATTCCTTTATTTTAAAGCATTTAGTGAAGAAGGAAGTAGAGGATTAACAAAATGAAATCTAAATTAAAACTAAATTTTATAAAATGTTAAACGTAGACAATTTCTTATTTCTTAAAAAAAAAAAAAAAATTTAAAATGTTAAAATTCTTTTTAAGTAATTTTTAAAGATTAATTTTTTTAATTAAAAGTTAAAAAGTAATATTAATAGTTATTACTTAAAACGAAGGGTAATGATATTTTTTTTCCGTAAAAATTTTAGGTATTTTTGAAAATATTTTATAGTATTTTTTGTGTTTTTATTAACTTTAATCTAATTTTTATTTTAAAATTTTGAGAATAAAATTATTATGATTATTATTTAACTCATTTAGATAAATATCAATTTCAAGTAAATATTACGTAAACTAAATTTAGAAATTCAAAAGTAATATAATTAATAGTATACTAAAAGAAATCGGATGGTTACTATATTTGTAATAAATATTTATATTTAATCCAAAAAAACAAATATTTATATTGAAATTCCAATTTTTTTCAGACCGCCTCGACGCAAAATTTTGATTCTTCTTCTCAAAGAGTTGGTTCTGTTCAATTGAAGGGACTCAGTAGTTCTCCAATGGAGGGAACCAGCAAAACCACCAAAAGAAAGCTGGTCAAGAAATCTGACAACAAGGTCGATAAGAAACTCAAGAACGAGCTTGATGATCCCGTTTCCTCTCAGCCACACGACGATGCCTCCGACTCCGATTTGGACGATCTTCCCAAACTCCTCGAGCCCTTCTCCAAGACCCAACTAATCGAGCTCATCTGCACCACTGCTCTCAAAGATGCTAATCTCGAAGCCCAAATTCGAGCTGCTGCCGACCGTGATGTCACGCACCGCAAGATTTTCGTCCATGGCCTCGGTTGGGACACCACCAAAGAAACCCTAACTTCGGTTTTTGAATTATTTGGTGAAATTGAAGACTGCAATGTGGTTTTGGATAAGAATACAGGGAAGGCTAAGGGCTATGGGTTTATTTTGTTCAAATCCCGTCAGGGTGCGACTAAGGCGTTGAAGGAACCTAGGAAGAAGATTAATAACAGGATGGCTTCGTGTCAATTGGCTTCTGTGGGTTCAGTGCCGCCGCCTCAAAGTCAGGAGGTTGGGCCGCGGAAGATTTATGTGGCGAATGTGCACCATAACGTGGATGCTGAGAGGCTTAGGACGTTCTTTGCGAAGTTTGGGGAATTGGAGATGGGTCCGATTGGTTTCGATCCCGAAACAGGGAAATCGAGGGGTTATGCTATTTTTATTTACAGAACAAATGAAGGTGCGAGGAGGGCTCTTGAGGAGCCACACAAAGTATTCGAAGGGAACAAATTGCATTGCCAGAGGGCGGCTGAGGGGAAGAACAAGAATCAGAATTCGACGCAGGCAGTGCAAAGCTTGGCGCAGACTCAGCCGCCGATGATGGCGGCCATGGCTACAGCTTCAAATTTGCCATTGTTTGCTCAACATCCGAGCCTCAATCCTGTGTGCAGTGGATTTGGGAACCCAGCTTTGGGAGGTGGAATGTTGAACCAGGGAGTAGTTCCCATGAGTCAAGTGGGTCTGGTTGGTAGTTCAGTTGGGGCTGGGATTGGCTTGAGTGGTTACAGTGGGGGTTCATATGGCTTAAGCCAATTAAGTGCCGGTGGTTCGTCAATGCTAGGCTCTTACGGGTCCGATTCTTCATCACTGAAGGGGTTGCCGCACATTTATTCGAGCACAATGCTTGGCAAGGCCGTATCGGATCGGGGTCCGGCGGCTTCTGGTGGGTCTCTCGGAGGATACACATCATATTTATGGTATGAGATGTTTCTTATTCTTTTTACTTGCCGCACTTTAAGCCTTCCATTTATATGTTTCAACTATCCATTCGTGCTTAGCATTAATTATAGTGCCAGGTAGAATGTATTAATAATTAATGGGTGCTATTAGTACTGGCATCATCAGCAGCCTGTGTGTATAATTATTATTTAGGTAATTGGTCCGTATAATCCCTAAGGCTACCACTAGTTTGTAATTTTAAGAGTTTCTAATTATTGTATACCTCTTAGTAATAAGGTGGTTAAAGATGCCCTTCTCGGAAGGTAGTCAGGAACACTGGCCAAGACAACTCTATTTAATACTCCCAACGTCTTGTCTATCTATATTTAGGATGCCTTGTAGAGTCGTGAGAGTGAAGTGGGCGAAAAAGAATTATAGACTTCTTTGGAAAGATTGAGGTAAGAAAGGAGGGTTATAAATTGCATCTAGTGAACTAGAGGAGAATGGCCTTGTCTCTGTGGTATGCAAGAGGTTTTAGGAGAGGTAATATCTACAGGGTGTAGGTTGATGCGACTCCAATTAGAGTTAAAATTTATGCCCAACGGGCCTATCAATTTGAGAAAAACGAGGTCGAAATTGACTTGTTGTAAAACCAAACTGTCTGCTTGACCAAAAAACCACCCCAATGGACTACCAAGCGTACAAGAATCTAATCAAATTTGACCAAATCAACCCAAATTCTAATACCAAACTAATTTTTCTGGTTATGAAATTGTACCCGCCAATCAATTTACTTGCTTTGGTTGGCTCTTTTAGGTTCATTTTGGCCGCATAGTTACCGTAAAAAAAGGGTATAGAAAAGTATTTATGTGTTTTAGATACTTTTAGGCTTTTCTTGTTGGCATGCAACAAAGGAGCAGATATTCGCTTAAAAGCTGATTTCATGGCAGTTGAGGTGAGGTCTAAGTAAATTCACAATGAAGCTTGCTGACATCTTTAATAGGTATAAAAGCAATACTATTTAGAGCTACTTTAATAATTTGCATGGAGCTCATCAGGCATCTATTTGTGTCGAGGGTCTTAGACTGGATGCTTACATAGCCAACATAGGGATCTGGCTTACAATTCATTTTCAACACCAAAGCAAGTAAGATTAACAAGTCCTGGAGTTTTTTTATTCATGATAGTTCAACTAATTCGTGATAGAGCCCTCTATAGTTACTATATTAATAGGGTGAAAGCTTTTTAAATCCTTAAAGATGTCCAGAGTGTTTCGATAAAGGTATCCTAGCTAGTGAATTACCTTTTTCCTGCGATATGTGCCAAAACATCTTGGGATAGTTGTTTCTTTTGGTTGTATCTTGGGTGTTGATGTTTGAATTAGAGATCACTGACAAATTATCCGTTCCTATACTCTTCCTATCTTGGGGGAGAGGAACGGATATTTCAAGATAGGAAGAGTATAGGGAGGAGGTTCAAAGGGGGCTCACATTATTGACTCTCCCTTGTATTTTTCTAATAAGTTTTTCAGTGATTTTCCTACTTTTTTGTTTAATGTATTTCTATTATCAACAGTCGGAGCTCTTTTTTCCAAGTGTGGTTACGACGGCCCCTTTTTGATTGGCTTGACCTTGTTCGTCCTTTCCTTCTTTCTCTTCTTTTTTAACTATTATTTTTGGGTTTGTATGGCCCCTACATGTTCCTGCAATTTTCTTAATGAAGTCTCTTGTGTGTTTCGGTCTGTATGGCCCCTACTTACGTACATATAAACCACTTATGTGTTGGTTGCATTACTTCTCAAAGTGATTCTACAAATGCAGATTACCATATACTATTTTAAAATGACTTTTTGGATAACTAACTTCCAAATGTTTCTTAAAAAAAGTACTTATAAACCAATTTGATTTTTTTAGAATGATTTTTATTGATCACCAAATAGTGCAAATGTTAGGAAAAACACTTCTAGCCATCTAATCACTAAGATATCAAACTCACACCAACTATCTCCAACTTTTAATGATAGCTCTACTCTAACTTCACTCCGCCCAAACCTAAATTGAGAAAGAAAGTTCTTCCGCGGGCCACAATTGTTTTTAGCTTTCTGTTCTAATTTGATTTATGTCTTGTTTACATTTATTTTCCTTCAGATTTTTTCCTGGTCTTCCGATGATTTGAAAAGTGATATTTTATTGTAAAATTTCTTTCTTTTTGACTTCTTCATCAAAAGTTTATTTTATTATTATTATTAATAATAATATTATTGTATTTCCTTGTGATCACGAATTCTTAAATCGATCCCATTAGATGTTGCTTTTCTTTTAATTTTGAGCCTACTTGGTTTGGTCTTCATCTTTTTTAAGTATTACTTTCGGATTACTTTAATCACACTTAATTAAAATGGTTTTTATGCTCCCCTTTGATGATCTTTTCCTTTTCTTCTTTTTTCCCCCTTTGCTATCCTTCATCTGATTGTATCTATTTGGGAAACTGCTGATTTTGTTGTATTTAGTTATTAGTAATATTGTGGATGTATTTTTGGTTTCTAATATTTTCTTCTCTTTTTTTTTCTTTCGGATTTCTTGGTTTCATTTTTCTTATTTAAATCTTCAACTTCATTGTTTTGATGGGAGTCTTCATTTGACAGGCCAGATTATTAGTTTGCATTGTCTTATTTCTCTTAGATGCTTGGGAATCCATATTTGCGTTTGAGGTGCTGCCGAACTTGTGGATGAATGAACCTGTTCTTTTGGGAAAGTTTATGTTAAGAGCTTCATTTGGGCTGATATGGATTTGATACCTTTTTCCTACAACTCCTTTTGTTTCCTTTTTTTTGTTTTCCCTTATTTCTCCTTTTATTCTGTCCTCCCCTCTCCTAATTTCTTTTATGTAGTAAGAACCTGCTGACGGGCACTAGTCATCCTATGTTTTATAATTCTACTCTGTTGATATCACTTTTAATCTTTTAAAAGTTTTTTATATTTATTGTTGAGTATTACTTTTTCTGGTGTAATTTCTTTTTCCTCCAGTACCTTCGTCTCTTAATCTTGGGCTTCTTAGTTATTATCTTTCCTGACTAATAATAATAAATAGAGGTTACCTTCGTGTGCTCTTGGATGTGTTAATTAAGTTCCTTTTAAAGTATGAGTTCAATCTTTAGGACTAATTAATCTTGTTGGGCAATCCCTTTCTTAAAAGATTCAAAAGGGGTGATGAGATGAGAAGCTCATTATCTGGCTAAGTTTAAAACTGTTCTTCGGTCCTACTGTTCTGTTAATTTTCTAGACTGTGAATATAATATTATGTTCTTGTGATGCTGGTTCAGGATTAGTAGTGGAGGATCTTTCCTTTGCTTTGGTAGCAGTGTTCACTGCTTCTTTGCCTTCATCCTCATTCTCACTCACTTTCATCATTTTTTGCCTCTACTTCCATTCTCATGTTCTTCCCTGTTCATCGCCTTCATTGTTGTCATTGCCTGTTCATATTTTCCATGTTGTTGTTTCCCTAGTTTTCATCGAATTGGTTCTTACAATTGAACTGTGAATTGGGTTGTTTGATTGTCAAAGTTTTTCAGTTGGTAACAAGTGATACTGAAACGGGATTTGAGAAGGTTGTACAGAAGAAAGCAAGCTGGTGGTGATGATGGACGGAGCAGAATGAGGTAATATGGGATAAGATTAGATCGGCATCATTCTAATTGAGATGCTTAAGGTATGGACACACTTTTTTGTTCATTCAAATTAAAGTTTCGTTTGATGCCATCACTCCAAATCACATCATCTTTCTTCTTTTTCTTTTTCAGTTGATTTTACTGGAAATGATACATTCAGAATAAATCACGCATACCATTTTGGAAAAGAAAAATAAGCTATTGCTTGATTTTGTAAAATGTTCAAAATTATTTTTATAATGTAAAGATATAAATAGGAGCTAAAAAATTAGGCAAATTTGAGCTACTAAATTCCATGTTTTGAATTTGCATTAAACTTCCCATTAATTAATTTTCTTGATTTACTTCTTTAATAATAATAATAATTATTATTCTTTGTAACTTGCTTTATGATTCTGGCTTTCTTGTGAGGCAAAATGGCCGTTTGGGCCTGGGCAAGCACTACGCTACCAAGGAAGTGTACGGTGGCTAAGGACTAAGGAGGTGGGTGGCTGAAAGTGAATCATATGGAACCACACGTCCGATGGCATCTTCTTCTTTACAAATCTTGTTACTTATTTTTGTTTCTATTAAATTTTATTTTAATTTCATTTATTAATAAGTATAATATGAATTAAAACAAGAACATAACACCATTCGCAATTTGGTTCATTTTTAACCTAATTTAAAGATGTTTTTTTTGACTTTCTATTATTAATATCATTACTTTAATAGCATAATTTTTTGAATTAACTTTAAATCCTTAATAGTATTTTTCCCCATTTTAGTTTTTTTTTCCCTTCTTTTAGATGCAAATTATGTAAATTACAAAATGTGTGAAAATATTCTAAAAGACCAAAAATTATTGAAATGACGTTTATGGCCAAAATTTGTCCAATAGCAAGGGCTTTTTTTTTCTTTTTCCCGTTACAAACTGGATTTTTTGCGTTCTCCGCAGACCGGAACTCAAATTTCCTTGAATGGAAATCAATATTTTCCTCAAGTCCGAATACTCGCCGACAACGCAACGAATTTTCCTTTTAAATTTAAAACATCTTTATGGGAACGCAAAATGAAATTAAATAAATTTACAGAAACTGCTTTGACTTCTGGGTTGACCAATATGCTACAAATAATGTGTTAAAATATTGTTTTATTTTTTTAAATTAATTTTTATTAAAATTGATTAAGTAATAATAATTATTATAATAATTTGCATGCAACCAATGACTTTGGTTACGAACATATCTCAAAATTTATTAAAGAAAAATTAATAGATACTCATTTATATTTGTATGCAAACTAGCTTTTATCACATTTTCACCATAATTAAAATCAGTTGACCCATCTCTCAATCAACATTCTTTTATTATATATATATATATATATATATATATAGATTTTCGACCCTATTCGTTAGATAGGTCTTGCAAGTCAAGCTTCCTTCAATCTCTATACCCGATGGACCATCATAATTTGACTCAAAAAAAAATTTTGTGCATATTTTCATACCTTTTAGGAGGCGTACGCACTACAAACTTCAATTTATTATCATTATTTTAACCTATGAGTCTATTGTGAGCATCTTCATAACTTCATGGAATTTTTTATAAGCCACGTCCTCCAAATTAATTTTACTTATACATGTGTAGGTCAAATACATTATCCGATTTAGATTTTGTCAACAACGACAAAAATTTATTTTCCTAAAATGTTTTTTATTATTAAAAAAAGTTACGAATCAATATCTTAACAAATTGAACCGTATTAATACACATATATAGCTTACCTAACTTAAAATAATAATCTACCACCTCTTTAAGCAAAACACCACTTTCACAACAACAACCAACACTTTGATATAATAAAATTACAAACTTAGCTTAGAATTAAGCTAAGTTATATAAAAAAAAATTAGAAGAAAAAAAAGGCATAACTAGCGAAGTTGAAAGTGATTTGGAATCTAAATTCTCATTATTGTTCATGAATCTAGGAAAGTAAGAGAGTTGAATGAGAGAGGAACAAGACACTGTAAGTGGGAAGCCACTTTAGAAACCCACTTAGAGAGTAATAACAAAATAAAATTATGTCAAAAAAAAAGAAAAAAGAAAACCACAATGGAATCCCAACACTCAACCCAATTTAACCCAACCTTTTATTAAATAAATCTTAATTGTCTTTCCCTTTCAGTCTCTCTTTACTTTATATACGTATCATTTTTCTATCACGACTAACTATTCATTTTCTTTTCTTTTCTTTTTGTTTTATGTTTTATCTTTTCCTTCTACTTTTTTTAATACATTATCAATATTTTTGCGTGTGAAAAACTGCTCAAGTTGTTCTAGATAACAAGTAAACATAAAAGTATCGGACGTACTTTTAAAATAAAATAAAATAAAAGGTTATATTGTTGTTATTATTATTATTATGTATAGGGATATTGATATTACAATAATTTAGGTGGCAAACAAAATGGCAGGCATGAAGGTGGGAGATGCTATTACGGAAATTGGTTGGTTGGTTGGGTGGCCCCAATCTCCACATTCTTGGGCAACTTTAGAGAACTCATATATTATCTTTATCTTTGTCTTATCTTCCTTAACCTTAATTATATACTCTTTATGATTAAGATTAATTAATGTTATTTATTTTAATTTTGTCTAATTTCATAATTATTTAATTGATTATTTATTCAAGTATTAACATTTTATTTATATTTAAAATTAAATTTTAATTAAATTTTTTTTATAATTTGAATAACTAAGTTTGTTTGTAACCCATGAACAGTATGACATGACATGTGTAAGACGCCCTCTGCTTCAAACACCCACACACATGAAAATCCAATCAGATTCAACTTTGACCCATTTCAATATATATATATATATCCTTTTTAGAGAGAGAAAGAAGAAAGAGATAGCAATTGATCCAAAGAAGAAGAAGCAGCAGATGAGAGATTTTGACGCCTTTTCCTTTTAGGCTATGTTGTTTCTGTTCAACACTCATAATTTTGTACTTCCAACTCCAAACATCTCGTCCTCGCTCTGTTCTTTCAGGTTCGTTCTTCAAACTTTCTCCAAGCGAACATCCGATCCCTCGCCCCTCGAATACGATTACGTTGTTTCTCTTTTCAATTTTGATCCAAATAAGATTAGTTTCCACTTCAATTCGTGAATTTATGAATTTGTGATGCTATAAGCTTAGAAGATTAATTATTAACGTCTTGTGTAACTACGTTTAAAGATTTTCTAAATTAGGAGTGTTTGGTTGGAGGGAAACGTTAGCTGAGCTTTCCATTTTCCGGGAAAATATTGCCTTTTTCTTTCATCTAACTGTTTGCCCACTTGTCAAGAATATGTGCGGTTCTTTATTTTAATATTAATTAAATTAATGGGCATTATTTCTTATCTTCTTTATATAATATATATATATATATATGTAAAGAAAAATTATATTAAAAAAATATTCTCAAACGTGATAATATATATATTTCTTTCTAAGAATTTAAACTCTTTTACTTTACCGTTAAAATTGTAATTTTTTTTTTAACTTTTTAAGAAAAGTAATACTTTTAACGGTGACCTTCTGAAATCATCCTTTCAGACGTTTTCTTAAAAAAAAAAAAAAAAAAAAGAGAAATTGGGAATAACTATTTTGTCTTTAATAAATATTCTAATGATTTAGTTAATGACGATGTATTATGAGTAGCTAAAAGGATTCGATATAATGAACTCATGATCCACTAAATATAACGGTATAGGAAGAATGGGATTGTACGAACCTGTCAACAAGCTTGGAATGTGGGGGAACACTTTTAGAAGCAATGCCAATTTAGATGTACCATCATCAACTCTCATTATGGAAGTTGATACCAAACTCGAGAACCAGGTAACTCTTTGCATTTTTTTTTCCATTTAGTTTATGGAGGAATATTTGAATTTCTAACCTTTGATCTTTATATATGCTTTAACAAGCGAAAGTTGATTCTTTTATGTTAAAAAAAAAAAAAAAACATTAATGCATGGAAAGCTTTGAAAATATTTTAAGTTATATGTGATAACATTTTTTTAAAATAAAAATTGTTTTTTTCTCACAATTTCTTGGAAGAAAATTAAAATTAAATTTTTGTCTTAATGATTTTTGATAAAGCCTCATAAATAATTTAGAAAAAACAATTTTATATCCAACTTTCTCCCAATTATTTAGATTAAATTTATAATTTAACATTTCAAATATTCTTTAGTCAGATGATGCTTCACTTGGTTCGTTGGGAGATCCTCATATTTATGATCAAGAAGATACTAAACGTATGGATAAGGTACGACCAAAAAATTTTATTGTATACAATTTATTTTTAAGATAAAATTAACTTTTAAGAGAGAATAGTTAAATCAACAATCTTTTTAGTCAACTCGAGCCTAACTCAAATAACTAAGATAATAGTAGCATCTTGTTCAAGTCGAAAAAGTTTTTTTTTTTTTTTCAGTATGTTGAAAATTCATAGTCGAGTATTTTACATTTTAAAAATAAATAAATAAAATATATTAATCGAGAATAGATCTTTAGGAAAGAACATCTACATCTCTTTCGGTTGAGAATATGTGTATGCTCAAATTAGTAGATAAGTTCTAAGTTTAATGGTTAAAATATTGTTGCTATAAAATTATATTATATTGTTTTTATTAGCTTATTTTAATAATAATAATAAATATTTGGAGTATGGAAATATTTATTTTGTTCCTTTAAAATCAAGTTTTTTACAATGTTTTTAAAACTTGTAGCTCTAAAAAAAAACTTCGATTTTGTTCTTCGTGAAAGTGAGAAGCATACAAGAACCATGAATATGATAGTTGAAACTCGATTGCAGATTCAAAGACGGCTCGCCCAAAATCGGGAAGCAGCCCGCAAAAGTCGCATACGAAAGAAGGTATGAATCGAAATTCTACATTCAATTGAAATCACAAAACAGTGTAATGGGTTTCTGAAGCAAATCCCTTCGCAGGCCTATATTAAGCAACTGGAAACGAGCCGTTTGAGACTTATTCGATTAGAGCAAGAGCTTGAAAAAGCAAGGCAACAAGTACGAACGATAATTGCTCCTAATTGATTTTATTTACCCCTTGATTTAACTTTTTCATGGAATTTTATCTATCTTCAGGATCTGTTTGCTGGATCTCGATTTGATCATTATCAGATGGGCTTATCTGGAACCACAAATTCAGGTTTGTTTTTTGGTTTCCCAATCGTTCTTCGATTTTGCCCTTATCTTTGATTCTCCAATGTCTTGTCGATATTGTATAGATCCTTCATTGATTATTTTTTGGTGGTGTGATGACTGAGATTTGGAAGCTACAGGATGTGAGATTTATTTGAGAGCGTAAAATTAGGGGAAGTGATATGGGGCCAAAGTTTTTGCAGGTCAAGTGTTTGTCGTAATGTCTGATGAATATAAAGTCCACAATCTGAATCCAGCATGTGGGTCATCGTAAACTGTAAAGGTTGGGATGTGTCTGAGCTTTTTCTTCTAGTCAAGTACTTGATGTGTGGTAAAGCCAGTTTCTCCCATTGGAGGTGGTTGCACGTTTCATCGCTGCTTTAGGAAAAGTTTTCTTATCTTTGCCTTTTAGTTTTCATATCTTTATATCAAGATTGACTGGTCTCCCAGCAACTTTTGATTATTTTCCTTGAGGATCACCTGCTTTCTAGGGCTTGGTGTTAAGACTTTGGAATTTTTGGTGCCTACAACGCTGATATTCTAGTGATGTAGTGATGTTGGATGCCTCGGCTTTAAGAGATTGAAACTTCTGGAGATGTCCTTCGAAGTACTAAGTGAAGCCTCCAAATTGGAAATTTAATGACTTGGTATTTTTGTCGTCTCCCAAAGCTAGCTTTTGATAGTTGAAACGTCCTTCTAAGTTAGTTGTGAGGTCCCACATCAGTTGGAGAGAGGAACGAAACATTTCTGATTAGGGTGTGGATACCTCTTCCTAATAGACACGTTTTAAAACTATGAGGTTGACGGCGATACGTAACAGGCTAAAGTGGACGATATCTACTAGCGGTGGGATTGTGATGTTTACATTAGTGGAAGCTGAACCATAGCTGTAACACAACGAGTGAGTTCCCGACACTCGAGTTTTCAGAAAACGGGATAAAAACAAAAATGCTTGTGAAGTTGTAAGGAAGAGAACAGTTAAGAATTTGTCTATTCTATAGACAGTACTTTTTGTCTACTTGCATCCTTCGACAAATTTGTTTCTTGTGCTATTTATAAGCCTCATTGAGTATTTATGAGCCATGTACCTTTTTTTCCCCTTCGAACCTTCTTTTTACTTGCAATCTACCTCAACCTTTAGTATGCATATTGTTAAGGATATTTAGTAATAAATTATAGTTTACCATATATATTAGATTTGATATTTTATTATAAGGCAAATATCTAACATTTGCCTTATTACTACAGGTATCTTTCCATTTATTGTTATTTCCATTTATTACTATTTCCATATCCTTGTAATTTATTTGATTATAAATAAGATAACTTTCACACCATTTAGGTGTGGTGGATTAATCAAACATTCACATGGTATCAGAGCCATTTTGGTTTAGCAACCTAGATCCTTTCTTTTCAATGGCTTTTGAAATCTTCTACTGTTCTTCTCCACCACCACTGTTGTCTTTGATGCCGCAGGGGCAGTCGTCATGGCTGTCACATGCAGAGTCGATTGATTATTCTTCGGCTCCACCTTTTTGACCTCCAAATCATCCTTCGCCATACTCTGTACATACAACCTCACCTTTTCCAAACATAGCCTCTTTCATTTTCTTCCCAATTTTTCTTCATCCTTCACAAAAACCCTAATCTTAGGATCTTCATCAGCATTCCTCTTCGAAAATATACAGAATCTCAATAAGCCCATTGACCTTCTGCAGAGATTTACCTTTGGAATCTGGGCGCCGCACTGGCATCTTTGCCAACCAAGTTGCCGCTGCCCTTCTCGCCAAAATTGGCTCCTTCGCCCCAATGTGGCGACTCTTCCAGCTGCCCTTCTCGCCAAAATTGGCTCCTTCGCCCCAATGTGGCGACTCTTCCGGCTTCAACATTGTCTTTGTCCCTTGCTCTAGGTTTCCCCTGCTACTTCTTGGGGTTAGACATATTCTCACCAGAGCCAAGTCAGCATCGTCGCTAAGCGACAATCCCTCTTCATGGGTTAGACATATTCTCACCGAAGCCAAGGCAGCATCGCCGCTGAGCGGCGATCTCTCTGCAGTTTTCGATGGCCAAGAAAGTGTTTCTCTACGCCTCCTCTGAACCAGGTTGTTAACATCTTCACGAAAAGTGTTTCTCAACCTCTTTGAATTTTTCAGATTCAAGCTTCACGTTCGTTTAAATCCGACGCTTAGCTTGCGGTGGGGTGTTAAGGATATTTAGTAATAAATTATAGTTTACCATATATATTAGATTTGATATTTTATTATAAGGCAAATATCTAACATTTGCCTTATTACTACAGGTATCTTTCCATTTATTGTTATTTCCATTTATTACTATTTCCATATCCTTGTAATTTATTTGATTATAAATAAGATAACTTTCACACCATTTAGGTGTGGTGGATTCAGCAAACATTCACACATATCTTTTGAATAATCCTCACCATTTGTTTTGTAGTCATCCCTGCATTTGAATCAGAGTACGAGCAATGGGTAGAAGAGCAGAACAAGCAGATTTGTGATCTAAGGAATGTTGTGCATGCTGATATCACTGATATTGAGCTTCGAATACTTGTAGAAAATGCAATGAGACACTACTTCAAATTTTTTCACATGAAAGCCAAAGCTGCAAAAACCGATGTTTTTTACATTATGTCAGGCATGTGGAAAACTTCAGCCGAAAGACTTTTCTTATGGATAGGAGGAATTCGCCCTTCAGAACTTCTCAAGGTATGTTCTCATTTAATGTAACTGGCAAATCATAGTAAAATGTTGACATCAAAGAAAACAAAGCCAATCTTCCAATTAGATTAGACTTTGGCTCTAGTTATGAATAACAAACATGGCTTAATATAAAGTGGTTTCTATGTGTATATTATTACAAAATACTAGACCACTACATGAGCCTTCAATATTTGATATCATGAAATTTGAAATTCGAAAAGTCTTTTCAATATTCAAGAACGAGAACACGAGGTAGATATATAATGAACTCATAGCCCCTTCAGTTTAATGTTGATCACAAAGTGTGTGATCTGCAGGTCTTGATACCTCAACTGGAGACACTGACTGATCAACAAATTTCGGAAACTAGTAGCCTTAGGAAATCATGTCTACAAGCAGAAGATGCTTTAAGACAAGGTATGGAAAAACTACAACAAAACCTATTTGAGAGCATAGTGGCTAGTCAACTCGATGAAGGAAGTTATCCCCTACAGATGACCGCTGCAATCGAAAGATTAGAAGCACTCATTAGCTTTGTGAATCAGGTAACATTTAATCTCAAGTTCATGAACTGTGTTATTTTAACATTCTCTTTGGTCATCTTAACCTTCCGTGGCCCAAGTCCAAGCCCTGATGATATCTACCTCTTAATGTCTCCTAAAGTTGGCCTTAGGGCAGCTTTGGCTTCCTAGAGATTAGTGATCATCTCGATTGTTCTAATAGAATCTGAATAGCTAAAACAATATTGAATGATAAAGATGAAGTCTTTAGTATTCGTACTCATGCCTTAAGCAGCTAAATAATTGCCTACCTTCATTCTTTCTCCCTCACTTCATTTATAGCAAATCGCCACTGACAACTCTTTAGCTAAATACATAATAATATTCCCACTTCTATCAGAACAGCATTCCTATCTCATTAAGAATCAAATTCAATCGACTTAGATTATAACTTGTACACTTATGATCTAGAGTTTTGTTCAGTCTTCTTCAGCATTTCATCAACATCGTCTACCTTTTTCTTCTCTCTTTTCCAATGTCCAAATAGGCTGACCATCTACGGCAGGAAACATTACAACAGATGTACAAAATTCTAACAACTCGGCAATCTGCTCAAGGTCTTCTTACTCTAGGAGAGTTTTTCCAACGACTCCGAGCGTTGAGCTCACTTTGGGCTAACCGTCCTTGTGGGCCTGTATAGTTTATCATCAAAAAAATTTAAGCTCAAAGTTACCACACCCATTTGAATATCAAGAATCTTACTAGGGAAATTTTGTAAATATGATCAATTTTTTAACTATATAGTAATGCCATGTTGTCTTGAAAATAATCTATTTAGTGTCGATATAATCCATCTTCGTAATTCTTCTAGTGTAAATGTATGTGCTTTGTGAAGGTACTAGTCCTTTATTTTCTATTAGTTGATTCAAATTGGAACTTCTGGGTTCAAAGTTTCTTTTTTGAATCCTTCATGCTATGGGAAAAATATGTACAGTTCGCGCTAAGATCTCTGATTTAGTTCAATTCCTACAATAATTAGCAATTTCATGAGTAGAATTTTTTAGTTTCATATAATTAAGTATTAAAGTTAGGCTTTGGGCTTCTCAAATTAGTCAATGGTGAGGATTCCTTACCAAACATTGATATCATCAAATAATTCTATTGATTTTCTTTTTGTGCCAGTCAAAATAATTGTATTTATTTTCTTAAAATCCCAAACTTATAAATAGTAGTTTAAGTTTATTCTTCCAAACTAATCTAGTCATCGGTTAAAAATGTATATTATCACGTCATCAATTTTGTACGTAAGCTGTTAAATTTAAGGCATTTGATAGACAATAGGCTAAAGCGAGAAACGCGTGCAGCTTCCAATTGTTTGTTCTTGGACGTTTCGAAGTCTTAATGAACAATACAAGTAGCAGCTCCTACAAATATCTTATTTTGATACATACAACAACACTGCATCTGGCTTCTGTACCTCCTTTACAGTTTTGACATGGCATAGTCCAAAGCATCAACAAGAAAGTCTGCACATTTTGAAGGAGTATGAGTGTAAGACATCTTTACTTCAGAAACTCCATAAATATTCATTTCCAGAATACACACTATCCCAAAATGTTGCTTCATTATTTGTAATCAGAAATTTACTATATGCTGTTAGAAGATATAACCATACCTGCATCATCTTTGGTGAAACACATGGGGGGCTTTATTCGAAATACATTGCCATGCAGACCTCCTTTCCCGACGAGAACGCCCAGTTCTTCAATCAGGACGAAACGGGTCATTAGAACAACAGCCTAAGATACTCAGTTGATCTTTACTTTCTTTGGAAAATAGAGAAGAGTGTACCTCTTAGTTTCTCGAACAATACTGCAGTTTCGGTCTTTGCTGGGGTTTTATCCTTCCGGTCGGTAACGAGCTCTACACCTACCATTAATCCCCTTCCCCGTACATCTCCTATGACTGGAAAATATACATTAATCAGATGAGATGATGATTTCCTCGCCAAGGGAAAAGAAAGCAAGAAATGTCATCCCAAGAAGTATTAGATGGAAGTAGATAGAAAGGTGAAGTTTTAAAAGAGACCAAGTCCAAGAGAACTTACTTTCATATTTTTCCTGGAGAGATCTTAATCGCTTCAGCAAGTGTGAACCGACATCGGCGCAATGTGCTTGACGCCTCTCTTTGTCAATAACTCTTAGAACTGCAAGTCCCCCAGCAGAGCAAACTGGGTTCCCTCCAAAAGTGTTGAACTGAATTTTTTGAGCCATTGTGCTCGCTATTTCAGGCGTTGTCACCACTGCTCCCAATGGTAAACCATTGCCAATGCCCTGAAAAGTTCATTACTTAGGACTTCTGGGGATGAGTTTCAAAATATGAACTGTTCCAACACGGATGGAAAAGGGAAAATACCTTTGCCATGGTTACTATATCAGGAATCACACCCTGTGTTTCAAAGCCCCAATAATGGCTTCCTGTACGACCAAAGCCAGTTTGAACTTCATCCGCAATGCAAACACCACCAGCCTTGCGAACAATGTCATAAACATGTTTCAAGTATCCGGGTGCTAATTCAACAGCCCCTCCAACACCCTGAGATAACCAAAAACCAAATGAATCTTCAATTTCATGTAGAAGTGGTTATCAAGATCAACAGATATCAGAAAAACAAACCTGAATTGTTTCGGCTATAAATCCAGCAACTCTTCCTGAGGTACCATAATCTATATGATCTTGAACATCTTTGACATAGCTAGTAGCATCTGACCCAAAGACTCCTCGATATGGATCGGGATTTACAACGTGATGAATTTCTCCCTGCAAGGTGCCACAAGTTGCAGAATATAATTGAGTTGACAGGCAAATCATAGGAATTATAACACTGGAGATTGAACTCTGGGAGAAACCTGAGGTATTGGGTACTTCCATGTGTTCAAAGCTGTCAGACCAATTGTGTTGGAACTTCCTCCATGGTATGCATTTCTCAATGCAATCATACCAAGATTACCACTGTATAGACGGGCCATAAGCATGGCTAATTCATTTGCTTCTGTCCCAGAGTTCACAAAATAGACAACCTGCAAAATCAAGTGAGCAGAAGTTTGAAGCAATGCAAAAGTAGGATGTTCTTTGATAAGGAGAATCAAGAAGTGATGAAATAATAATTCAATCACCAAAGTTGAGAAAGATGAAAATGTGAGATCCCCACGTCGATTGGAGAGGGGAACGAAGTATTTTCATAAGGGCAAGCCCGAAAGGAAAAGCCTAAAAAGGACAATATCGACTAGTGGTGGACTTGGTTGTTACAAATGGTATAAGAGTCAGGCACTGGGCAGTATGCCAGTGAGAATGCTGGCCTAAAGGTGGGTAGATTGTGATATCCCACATTGATTGGAGAGAGAAACGAGTGCCATCGAGGTAGCTAGGCCCCAAAGGTGAGTGGATTATGAGATCCTACATCGATTGGAGAGGGGAATGAGTGTCAGCAAGGACGCTGGACTTCGAAAGGAGTGGATTGTGAGATCTCACGTCGGTTGGAGAGAAGAACGAAACATTATTTATAAAGGTATGTAAACCTCTCCCATCAGACTCGAACCTTAAAGGAAAGCCCGAAAGGAAAAGCCCAAAAAAAACAATATCTGCTAACGATAAGCCTGAGGTGTTCCAGAAAAGAGGTGTTCCAGAAAAGATCCACCAAATCTAGGAATTCAACATCAATCATCCATGGCTAAAATAAATTAATATGATTTAATAGTTCAGAAAGAAAATAGACCTTCAAGTTTCCAGGCATTTTTGCTGCCAATGCTTCGGCAAAATCCGCAATTGCATGGTGTAGGTATATAGTTGTAGCATGCTGTAGAAGTTTGTTCTGCTCATTCACTGCGGCTAAAACATCGGGATGGCAATGCCCACAAGACACAGTAACTATTCCAGCAAAAGCATCGAGGTAACGCCTTCCATTTTCATCAAACAAATATTGCATTTTTCCTTCTACAATATTGAGCTGTTGAAGTAAGAAGGTAAGAGTAACAGAAGAATCAGTTTCAGAAGAATATCGAGGGCATCCACACAGCAAGAAATTTCACATGAAAATTTAGGAGGGCAAAATTATTGAGAAAGCGGCAAAAATCAATTATCAAGTAACAAGAAGTCGAAATCAGAGACATTACCGGCTTCTGGTAGTAGTGGAAAAGCGAAGGGCCAAGAAACTTCTTCCGCTTCTGGAAAATTTCATCGGTGAGAGGTCCGTTATACGGCTTCGGCTCGTAATCAAACGGCGGAAGCAGAGGTTTGAGGTCGGCAGCCGCCGTAGCAGAGGAAGCAGAATGAACCGAAGAGGAAAAACGATAACGGCCATTGAACGCCTTCGAGTTCGCCTCTCGTAGAGCGTTCTTCAAGATTTGCCTCTGAAACGCCATGGCCGATCCCTCCGAGCTCCGAAATGAAGAGAGATTTTGGCGTTTCTGCCGGAAATGGCGGCTCTGTGCGTCGCTGTGTCAGGCTTTTGTGTATTTTAAAAGCATGTTGATGAGTAGATGCTTCATCACGCTGATGCCGACAGTCTAATCCGGATTAATCATGGTTCAAACTACTGAACAAGATAATGGAAAACAAAGATTAAATATTAGTAGTGGCCATCACCTAAATAATTTCCCACATGGGTTTAATAAATTTATTAAATTTGAAAATAATTAATTCTTTAATTTTTTATTTCGTGTCTAATATTTTTTTCTCTCTCGTCTCTCTCGACTCGTGTGCTATCTCTAGGGCTTCTCGTTCTCTCCGTCTCCTTTTGATTTAATAGATGTCTACAACGACATTAGTGATAGAAAACCAGTCAAACAGGAGAAACCCACACGTACCTCACTGTTCATTATTTTTTTTTTTTTAGTTTGTCAGATAATTGTGATTAGTTGAGAGATGAGTGGATGCAATTAATTTCCAAAGTTAGGTTATTAAAGATACCTCTTCCATAATTCAATCCTACACCCACCGTTACCCAATTTAAATAATTCAACTTAGTTGCCTGCGTGCTCACCAAAGTTCAAATTTTGTGTATTAATTTTTTTATAGAATAAAATTTGAAAAAGTCGAGAAAGAAAAATCGGAAAACTTTCTTGAAAAATGAGTTTAAAAGAACGAAAAAGTGAACCCGACGTGAATCGAACACGCAACCTTCTGATCTGGAGTCAGACGCGCTACCATTGCGCCACGGATCCGTTTGCTGATGAAATTGCTATCTTAATAAATATTCGTATATTTTATCTATTATCTTAATTGATTAAATTATGCTTAAAATTAGCAATTTGATTCTGACATTTAGTTTCTCCTTTATTTCCTTTCTTATAGATTTATATCAAATATACATTTAGCTTTTCGAATGTTTTATTAAGAAACTTTTATTTATATTTGTAATTTTCCCTCTTATATTTAAAAGACAATGGCTTTCTAATTCTTTACCAATTTTATTTATATATTTTAGAATTAAATTCTAACGTGAACATTAAAAAATGATTATTTTATCATTCTTCACTTGTAAAACGTGTAATAAAGATCTAAAAATATATCAGTAAAATTTAAAGTAGGACAAATTATTCAATGAGACCGTCACAATAAGATTACCTTTTTAAAATTATCGAATATAGATCTCGCAATTTCTTGTAAACCCGTCAGTCCCATCATTACCACCTCCTCAAATAATTTTTCTAAAGGGTAAAACAACACCTATAATAAACTATAATCAAAGAGAATTAGATAAAAACAGTTCAGAAAATTCAGCTATGTGTAGACATATTTTTCTATAAGTAGGTTCATATACACAGGTTTTGTGAAGCAAAAAAGTGAGCACTCTAAATCAAAGAAGAAATAAGAAATGATGAAACTTTAAGTTACCTAGGACCAGATAATTCGAAAGCACGAACATTTTCGGTTGAATCGACCATC